ACAAAACGTGTTAAAAAAAACAAAAACTGTCTTAGCAAATTGGCAAAATCTCCACAACTGAAAACTGTCTTGTCAGTATAAGCGTTTTAAAGAATGCGATTCAAGGTGGTTTCCAAAACTTCCATTCGACAAGGAATTGGAGCAAATATCTACTTGTTGGGTAGTTCTGGAACATTCCACCGGAAATCGATGTTCAAAAGTTCCCCCTCTTGTAAAGTTTCTCGACAAATATTTATTCAATAACTGACTTTACCTCTCTCGGTATTAGGTACTCCAATGTTCTCTGTTGGTATGGAGAGATCCTCTGTCTCGCTGTAGTACACAATGTGTTTGGCGTGCTTTCCAACGGTCTTTTGCACAATAGGCACTGAAAAGAAATAAATATTTTTTATTTGTAGTGCTATAAATTATGACCTCAAGATGGTAGCATTAAGGTTAATTTAAAATTACCAAAAGCCATCGAAGACCAAGACGAAAAACAGTCTAAATCAATGTAGCAGTGATTATATCTTTTACAAAGCTAAATCGCCAAATTTAGCCTATAGTAACAACAACATAGTTGCAATTAGGTCTCCAGCAAAAATTAAGTTTACGTACACGAGCCTTAGGATAGCTGGCATGACCAGGCATTTCCTTTTTACACAATGAATTCAACTTAAATTACAAGAAAATATGAAGTCAAGTATACCTCTGTCTTTGTGGTATTTCTTTGTAGTCTTGACAGCGAAAAATATATTGTCCGAAGATAGCGGCTCACCCTGAGGAAATCCCATAGAGTTCTTAGAGACGACCCTTTACACACAATACTTGGAACCAAATAGGTTTAAACCTTGCTTTCTTTCGGTCTGCAGTTGTTCCCAATTTTTTTCAAATTTTTTGTTCCCGCATTTAACAATATTTTCAGTCTGCTAGCTATTACTCGAGTTCGCTGCTTTTGGCCAAGGTTATGGGACCCCACATTATCTCCTCAAAAAGGTCTACATTTCACGAAAAAATATGAAAAAATGAAAATACCATTTAGCCTATTTATAAGTTTATAATTAAGTACAGACCCCCCTCACTCTTAAACTAAAGCTTATACCATGAACGTACACAGTTAGGGCCCCCAGTTTTCAAAGACGTCACACATTCCTGATTGTCCCTAGGTTCGCTAGTGCAGAACTCGGGTACATCTGTGAGCAGCGTGCCTCGACCCTCGTCACGAATGAACATTGCCACCTAAGAAAAGGTAACAACCCAGTCTAATGAGATATTACTTTGGAATTCGATCTCGGGGGAACGAGTGGGAATATAAACATTTCAACATGTCGAGTGTTATATTTTAACAAAAACACGGGGTTTTCTTAAATCTATCGCAAAACATGGCTGGTAAAAAATCATTTATTTTCATTTTAGTTCGTCCCTTCTGGTAAGAATTTTCTTTCTTTTACTTCTCTGAGTTTTGAATAGAACAATTACAACTTGATAAAACTTCGTGGAAGAATGTTGCTAATTAATGATGATACCAGTGTAAATTCTCCGTGCAGTTCCCAACTTCCCTGCTCAACAGCCAATGAAATACTGCAGATTTCGATCCGTTTGTAAATTAAGCATCAAAAATTTTTCTATAAAACCGAAACCAACCAAAGTTGTTATCAATCAATTGTACCACTGTACTACAGAGAGAAACACTGAAGATGCCACCAAAAACCGCAGGAAAGAAGCAAGAGACAAAGATGACCGGAAAAGTCAAGAGTGGAGACAGCAAAGGAAAGAGAAGTAGACGAAGAAAGGAAAGTTACGCTATCTACATCTACAAAGTTCTGAAACAAGTTCATCCAGACACCGGAATATCCAGCAAAGCCATGAGTATTTTGAACTCGTTCGTCAACGACATCTTCGAGCGAATTGCAACCGAGTCTTCTCGACTCGCCAACTACAACAAAAAGTCTACAATCAGCTCTCGCGAAATTCAGACCGCCATTCGACTGCTTCTGCCCGGTGAACTGGCGAAACACGCGGTCAGTGAAGGAACAAAAGCCGTTACAAAGTACACTAGCACAAAGTAAAGCGATTTGAAAGATACTAGATTATACACGTGAAGACTAAGGGACGAAACGCATGAAACGGACGCTGAATTTAGACTTTGTGACTTGAAGACAGACGAGCGACTTCTACAAAACTGGACAAGACGAAAGCAAATTTAAAACTTAGGACTACAACATCTCGACGAAATACTCGAGACGTGAACGAGACGGACGCTGTTAGCAGAACTTGTGACTGGAGACATCTCGACAAAGACTTTGATTAAAAGACATACGCGGAAGGTGTTCAAGAACTTGTAAAATTGTGACTTGACAAAATTGTACAGTGACTTTTCAGGAACAAGGTATTCTCCTGAAGCAGTAAAATAATTAATTTTCTCGCTGAATTCACACGTAATTGTGTACTATTTGAATCCCTTACCTCGTGTTGTACGTCAATAGTAAAGTCAGACCTTGGTGGATCAGCTTGAAGTCTTTTTCCAATTCTATTTTTTTAAACAAATTGAGAGCAATCAAGGTTGCAACATTTATGTACTTTTTTATTTCAGTTTTTTGCGTTTGTTTTAGAGAGGAGTGTTAACTTTTGTAAATAGAATTGTAGATAAGGAAATAAACAGATTTAAGTTCTATAACGAGTGAAAGAATTGTGATTGGGACGGTGGCTGTCACGTGCTTTCAAACTACTCAAGTTTTAAGGTCTGATTCTGTATTCAGTCAGGCATTCACCTCTGTTTTAAAAGTTCTGAGGATAAATTTTAAACCCTTTGATTCCCGGATCTCGTTAGTTTTCTCCTAAATTTCTATCATTAAATCATGTTAGTTTGCAGAAGTTGGTGTTAAATTAACCAATCCTTAATTCATGTTTTTCTTTAAACTCGTCACTTGTCTATAAGAAATTTTAATGACAATGTAGGGAGAAATTTTCTCGGTATTACAGTTAAAGGGTTAAACAAAGAAGCGTCTCTAGCAAAATGGGAAAAAATGGCCAAGCACAGAAAAACGAGATTAGGAAAGAAAAAAAAATATTCGCTCTATGGTAATCCTCGGATGAAGGCCACAATTTCATTTCGCTGTTCTCCCATCTTTTATTCCCAAGGTGAACTGTCTTTGAATATTTTCAGAAGTCGGACTAGATACGATTGCAAATTAATAGCTATCTCTGTTTTCGTATTTTTGCGTGAAAGCATTCATCATCGCTGACTTCCCAAATTATGTTTTAAGGAATAACAGTTCTTTGCATAGTTTTATAGGTAATTTAACAACTCTGTTTGACGATCAGTAGTAGAAGTGTTATGGATTTCAGAAGTGGATGAAGTCATTCGTTTTATTAATATTTTTCTTTTTATTCAAAAAAAGTTAAAACTATTGTTCAAATAAACCATTTCCCTTAAAAAAAACTTAAATATCGGCCATTCTTCTCTACGCATTAGACACGTTTTCATACTTGATAACTCAAGACAAGCTTCAGCATGGTAATATCTATTGTGTCGGTAGACCCGTTTATTCTCACAGCGCCACTAAATCTTCACTAAGATGACAAAGTAAAGATTAGCCAGCTACAACTAAGAGGCTAGAAAAACTGTCTTTTAGATAGGCTACCTAAATAAAGAAATGAGATTGCTAGCTCAGAGTAAAAATAAATAAACGTCTAATAGGTAGATAAATATATAAAAAAATTAATACACATATAAATAAAGGAAGGAAACTTTCTTCTTTGACTAGGAACTCAGACTAGAGGGTGTTCTAACTTGCCTGTTCAGTAGTGGTACAGACAAAGCCCATCCAGCTGAAAAGTCAGGAAAAGAGAACTGTGATGGGTCCTGATGGAATGCAAAGTGATGGATAATTGCTGGTTGTTTATCTTGAATGGCATGTCCAAGAAACATCTCCTGATGAAAAATCACAAAAGAACAGATATGATAAATTCCCCTTGAAAGCTTCAAGGACTTCAAGAGGGTCAGGGGGTCCTTTTCACCCCTCACCCACTTTTTCCTCTGTCATATTATATGGGTAATAACATTACTTTGGGTGCAATATGGCGTTAATAAACATTAGTAAATTTTTTAAAGACAACAAAAATCCAGGTCATTGCAATTTTTAGTCTTTGAAAAATTTACAAGTGCTTATTTTCATGAAATTGCTTGAGAAATCATGTTAGAACTTACAAATAATTTACATGAAAGAGCATCATAGAAAGTCAAGACAGACAAAATTTTGACAGTGTGTGTGCCATTTGTAATCTGCTCTTGTGTTACAACTTTGCACTTGTGTTACAATTTTGCGCTTGTGTCACATAAAAAAAATGCACTTGTTTTCAGCAAATCAGAAGTCCATTATTTTTACATGTATATTATTACAACATGAAAAAGAGAGCAAAAGAGAGAGAAGCTGGTATTAGTGCAGCAACTGTCATGACTTCCATACATTTATGGTATTCTAGAACCCTTAACCACCTAAGATCTGATTCAATTCTTTATTCTAGGTGCTACACACTTCCTTGTAAGTTAGTGAAGAGAATTTATTGTAATATTGTGATAACACTTCCACTTGACAAGCATGTCTATTCTCATTACCTGTTTGCAGGGTAATGTCTTGAAATTGTGAGGAGAAATATATATTAATTCTACACTTGTGGGAGCTCAAAAGTTATACAGTTAGTTCCAATTTTCTACAGTTATGGCTTATCTCATTGTCATCACAGCTACAATTCAGACAAGTTACTTTTTTTTATCACACCTGTCCTGCATCATATTTGTTTAAGACTTGAACAAGTCCTGATAAATTGATGGTGGTTTCATCCTCACAAAAAAATATCCATCTCTTGTTATCACCATAATCTCCGACCAAGCTAGAACAAAATGAAAAATGCATTTTTTTACCATTCATGTAAAAAGCCAATTCTCAAACATACACTGTATAATTAAAACTTTTCTTAGGTCAAGTCATGTGTAATAATATATTCCTTTAATGATTTTGGACTTTCAAAAAAAAAATTCCTGGTACTAAAACTACTCAGTCTTACCTATTTATTGCTGGAAGAATAGTCCAGGCCCCATGGGGTGCCCAATCTTCGTGCATCATTTTAAGTTCTAAGTGATCCTGGAAAATGATTGATTTGAATTCACATTTAAATGTAAAAATCAATTAGTTACAAGACTCCTTATCTAAAAAGATTTCTATTAGCTTTAGATAAGTCAAGATTTCAGCAGTTACCTTTTCTCCTAGAGCTTCTGCTTGCTCATTCAGGGTTTGTCTGAAAGCTTTTGCTTTTTTGACATGAAAAGCATTATGTTGACTTCTGATGACAATAACTATATCCTTTAATCCTGTGGAAAAAAAGTTTTAAAACCTCAATGTATGGCACACACCACAAGTCACGCTCATGATCACAACTTGAAAACAAAGTAACCTCAATCCTCTAGAGATCATTGATAATTTTTTTTTTTAACATTTGCCACACAGCATCCAAAAATACTGTGTCATTTAGTATCTATTCTGAAAAATACATAATCATCAAAAAGTAACAGTGGAATAAACTAAAATCTTAATTCTTCCCTCTGGCTGCTACATGTTTCCTTGTAAATTAATAACAAGAATTTGGAGTTAGATCAAGATAACTTCTACCTGAAAAGTTTGAGTATTCTCATTACCTGTTTGGTGGATAATGTATGGATATTATATGGAGAAGTTACATCATAATCACTACTGGCAGTTTAAGGGTTAACACTATGAATAATTATTATCATTATTTCAATTGGATAATTAGATAATGTACCTATAGGAGAGATATCTGTTTCATTTTCAAGTTTGGAATCCTGGAAACAAATCAAAAGATAAAATAGCTACTAAAAATGCACAAAGGTGATTTCCATCTTTGAGTTAAAACTGAGTAAACAGCAATAATAACAATCATAACTTTTCCTTGATAGCTCGTATTGTTGTAAACCACTATCCCCCCACCCCCCTTCAAAGATCTTAGGACATAGACCTCCCTATGCAATAAGAAACAATTATCTTAAATCTATATTTGGAGCAACTTCAGAATACCCCGCAACTCATTTACATGTTATTGAATAAGAATAGCGTCTATTGTGTTATGCCTCGATCTTCAAAGCCTCCCGACACATGTAAGTGAGGCGGACTAAAGTTGCGGGGTATTCTGAAGTTTAGCCCTATATTTCACACGGTGCTTAGATAGCTGACAGATCACGAAATTTTCGTCTTTCGGTAAGATAGTTCATATATTAAGTTCTGTAAGATTGTTCATAAATTATAACCTAAATTTGCGGGTGCTTCTTTTATTAGTTATTTTTCTGCCAAGTTGATATTACCATTTACATTCCATGAATGGTGTTAGTGATGTTTTATCTGTAATTTAGACAACAATAGATGACGAGAACAATGCTAACCGCTGTGCCACGTGTTTTCACTTAGAAATACGTATATTTTAAAATATAACGCAATCTCTATGACGATGATGCATTCGAAAATACAAATGTCTATCGAGAAAGAAATCAAACGAAGTAAGAAATTTAATTACTCGGTGTACCGTGACAGCGCCAAATTCGAATCCTGTTTGAGGATCATCGGGTCCAAAACCTCCAAAATCACTGGCGGCAATAATCGGTACTGTAATGAAACAGAAACCATGCACTGATATTAACTGACGTTTCCTTCAGGAAACAACGCTATAAATACTTACCAAGAAGAAGAAATGAAGATACAACCCTTTGGAGAATAATCATTTCAGCCTTTTAAATATCATCAGCACATGAATGAATATATCTGAGAGGAGACTGAGAAGCACTGTTATTGTTCCGCGGGCTCAAAGAACAGTCATAGGAAGAACTACACTACTTCAAATATCGTAATCATAATGTACCAACATGGCGGATGTACTGGAAGATGAAGATATGCAAGTCTTGGTAGGAAATCAGAAAGTGTATCAAAATGAAAGCAGGAGAGCATTTAAAACGGTTTTTGATAAATTCATTTGTCTTTTCTTGATAAAGAGGTTGGAGTTTGAGTGGTTGCTGCGTGAACATGTACCGAAGGTGCTGATCCAACTTGGAAACATTTTACAGGTAAATTTAAATTCTAACACACCCCCTGCTAGTCCTTGTAGTCATTTTGTTTAAGAGAGAGATGCTCTAAAGAACTTTTTGGGGTGGATTTAATCAAAATATAAAGTGAAAGGTATATTCATCAGCTATAAATGATGATAAATGTTGCCTTGTGCGTGTGTGTCTGTGTGTGCTAATAACACATGGAACAGCTACCGTCGGAATATAGAGCCACTGACATTCACATTGTCATCAAGCTTTAAACGATGAAAGAGGAATTGTAGAACAGATAATATGATGAACTGAATCGTACATGCACCTTTGACTTTAAATAGCTCTGTCAGAACTCGTAAGCCAAGATGATATCATATTAAAGAAGCATATGGTAAGGTTATCTTCATGGCATGGCTGAGCTCAAGTCTTAGAGGCCAAGTAGCTCAGTGCGACTGAGAGTATCTCTTCTCCTCCTGAGATGTGGGGCTTTCATAGGTTGCCTCCCCCCTCTGCTCCACCCCCAGAATCTTTAAGGGCTCCCTCACAGTTCGGAGAGGCACTGAGGAAGTTAGGTATCTTGCCTCTGAACATAGCACAATGATGTAGCAGGGTCTTGAACCTAAACATCTCAGGGGGCTGTCCTGGTGTACTGGTACAAGGGAGAATTCCTATTGTTTTCATATCCATACATGGAGTTGTGACGCAGTTCTTTAATGTTTCGTTCCTTTGTGTACCGGTACACGAGGACACAACCTATCTCAGTTGGGAATCTAACGTGCATATCATTAGGCTGGTGTATCTTGTACATGGCATGGCTAAGCATAGCTTTAGTGATAATAGAATGAGAGAACCTGGCTGTGGCTGGTTATATCTTTGACTCCTTCATCACACTGGGAAATTACAATCTTGTCAAACCTATAGTTTATCTATTACATCTTAATTATTTGTTTCTTCATTTTCTAGAATTGTTAGTTTACTTACTGAACAGAGGGTGGGTTTGTTGAGGGGCTTAACCCTTTAACTCCCAAGATCTGACTATTAATTCTCCCCTCTACCTGCTACATGTTTCCTTGTAAGCAAGTCACAAGAAGTTGATGTTAGATCAAGGTAACAACTTCTACCTGATAAGTTTAAGTATTCTCATTACCTGTTTACTGGACTATGTATGGATATTTCAGAGAGAAATTAGTTTTAAATCGCTCCTGGGAGTTAAAGGGTTAAGACAATTTTAGTGAAAGTTAAGAATTTAAGGAACAGTGAAACAAATATATATTTTTAAAATTTTCATTTAATTATTTGAATTGAAGGAATGTTCAAAATGTTTAAAACTAACAAGTGTACCATCAAAGGGACCCACAGGAGAATTACAGGGTAGGAACAAGAACATGAAATGCATTTTTTTGGGGTTATTCTCAATATCTATTCAATTTCCAAATACTTTTTTTGTCTATTCAATTATTTTTTGAATAAACATACTCTTATTTTTGTCAAATTTTTAGGAGAAATAAAGCCACAAGATTACTTTATGCTTTCCACACCCAAGTGAGACAAAGGCTTATTGTTAAATTTTTATATTCAAATTAAACATTTAATTAAGGGCTGAAATCTTTTAAAATTTATTTGATGAATCTCAGACAGGTTAATTTTTTTATTACAGCAGTGACGCCCTTAAAGGTTATGTTGCTGTGGAAGGTGAAAACATTTCAAAAGCTGTGAGTTACTTAATACCTATTCTTTGAGGTTGCTTTTTTTTATCTGGCTATGAAATACTCAGTGATACAGTCTTAAATGTAATCTAAAGGATCAGAACTAGGTTCTCTGAGAGCTGATATAGAGGAAGTTCACCAACCTTTATACATGTACTGTGTATAAGAGAAATCTGATTCAGGACTGTTATCATCCTGCCATCAAATATTTTTTGCAGGACCTCAAATTTAAACTTCCTAAAGTCTCAAGCTCTGGTTTCCGTGTGTTTGTTAGAGAGCGGCTGCCATGGAAATTAAAACAGGTGAAAATATCTTTTTTTTCATTTTAAAGAGCTCTTTTCTTTACATTTACTTTGCTTATTTCCAACCCAGTTTTAACATCTGGAGTTAATTTTACTTGATCATGTTTTATTTGGTGACTAATTAATGTCAATAATATTTCATTTTTGTAGATTCAAGATGCTATAAACTACTTGCAACTTGCTATTGAGAAGGTTCAAGAAACCAAAGCTAACTGTAAATTTTCTTCTGGAAAAGAAGTCAGCAAGGTAAGAGATTTTGAAATATTTATTTTATAATGTTGAACAAAAAGACATTTTGTTCCCTGGTTGGAAGGGTCTTAGTTGTGTTTACAGACAATTCAACTTAGTTTGTTTTTGTTCAAATTTAATAATTTTTTATTAGGTTGTAGAAGAAATAACAAGCCTCTTGACAAAAGGAAAGACCAGACTATCTTTGCCTGACAAAACACCAGTTTTAGATATGTTGGCATCTGGTGACCAGGTACACCTGAATATTTATTAATTTTTAATGATAAATAGTTAGCTTTAAATGGTATGCTTGCATCACTTTTTGAGTACTGTTCCTTCTCTTTCAGAGAGTGTTCAAGCCTGGGTTGCCAGATGATGTGGTAGCATACTTCTGCCTTAATAGCGACAAACTTGTCTTGTCAATTTACACTTTAACAACGCTTCCTGTTCCACCTCAAAGTTCAGTAAGTTTCTTTAAATAAACATTACTGTGTGTGTTTACATATCAAGAATTTGATAACATGTGCATGCATCACAAACTGTATATTAACTGATTTTTAATGTTATTGTTTTTTTACCTCCCATTTAGAAGCCTCCTCAAGAGAATGACCCTGTTGGACAAACATTGTAAGCACTTTTTCACTTTGTATAGTGTGATCATCAGGAGTGAAGGCAGGGTTTTCATTAACCCTGTACACCCTGACATCAGTATCCATATTCTCCTTACTCTTCTCCAGACATTTCTTTTGGTGCTGACAAGGAGAATTTGTTTAGCAATCAAAGCTTGTTTAGTTGGCAATCATTTCCTTTATTCTCATGATCTTATTGAATGACTCAGAGATATTACTGTAAGGAGAAATTAGATTCTGGTCACTCTTAGGGTTTAAAGGGCTAAGGAATGTAGTTGCAGGAGAAAAATGTGAAATAACAGGAGGATATTTTCCACCTCTGAATAAAAAAATAGCTCAGACCATCAAAATGAAGCCAGAGAATTATGTTAAGTAGCTGGTGAATTCTCCAGCTGTCTAAGAGATCTCCCCTTGTGTGGGTTTTCTTGAAAAAAGCTCTTGTTGGTCATTGGCTATATATTTTGGCAACCTGAGTAGGAGTCATTATCTCTTTATCAATGTTGAGTGTTGATAGATAACATCACTGAAATTTCGGTTGTAGAAATGATGGTCACAGAGTTCCTAGAACAGTCCTTTCAGAAATTGCTCATCCAGACAAGCATGCTGATGTGATTTGTGATTGTTGAATACCTCTTTGGTAGAATTGTGCATTAGAATTTTGTACTCTGTACTTCAGGGGAATGACAATAATCAGGATGAGGGCAGATACACTTCAGTTATGCTCATCATTATGTCTTGTCTTGTTATAAACCTTCTATTTGGCTATTTGGTGGCTGCGTTATGTTGTAACTCTTATCTCAATTGTGATCAGGTATGAACATTTAATCAAATTTGATGATCTTTTTCTTTGCATATAAACAGTGAATTTAATAACAAATGGATGGAAATCACAAGTCACTTTGAGGTATGGTAAACTTGTCTATTTTACAACAACAAAAAAACATTGCCATTGTCAGTTTTATATATTTTCTAAGTTAGGCCATGAAATTTTCAATTGTCATTCTTTTGATAATTTTTTTACTCATTTTTGCATTCCTGTTGTACAAGGTTGATTGTTCAATCCCAAGACTCAGTGATTCTGTTTTACTCATTGGAGCAGCATTGAGATTGTGTCAACAATTGAAAGACAAGGTACACAATGATATTGTGATTGTTAAAGGAAGGCTTCCTAGGTGATTGCAAGATAATTTGGCCTTCTCAACTGAGTTGATGATGTGAATTGGCTACTGTAGAGAGTTTCTATAGCAGATACTTTGTTAACCCTTTTAGCTCTGACAAAGGGTCAATACTCAAAAAATCAGCATTAGAAACTTGGGATCAATATCAGTATCTGGGCAACTGCTCACCTACCCCTTTCCTAACTCAACAACAGTCAATTGACAACAAGTTAAGGTTAGTGTTGAGTTAGGGGAGGGGTAGGTGGGCAGTTGCCCAGATACTGATATTGATCTGAAACTTGTTTCAGTGGCAAATTGTTCACTATCAACTCAGTTGATGAAGGGACAGTTTGGATGTACTACTTTCAATCGGTTATTTTTCTGTTCTTTGTAGATGACTATGAATTTTAGTGGTTTCCTACTAGGAAGTTTGAAATAAGTCAATTTATAATTTGTGATATTTCGACTATGATAAAAATGTCCAAAAATTTAAAATTAGTTTGAATTGAAATATTTTAGCTTGATATGCTTAGCTGCCTTTTTACTGAATAAATCTTTGTTGTTTAGTTTGCAGTTTTTTCTGTGCTTCCTGCAAGATGATCATGGCAATTTTGAGTCTTAGATTGGAAAGAAGATTTGTTTATTTGATATCTTTTATTGTTTAAATATTGATACCTCAGTTACACTAGCTGAAATTGAATGATTGAGTAAATTTCTATTTGTAATTCCTGATTAACCTTTAAACTCCCAGAAGTGATTAACAAGTAACATTTACCTATAATATCTGTACACTATCCTGTAAAATCAGGTAATGAGAATATTCAAACTTATTAGGTAGAAGCTGTTATCTTGATCTAATAACAAATTCTCATAACTAATTTACAAGGAAATATGTAGCAGCTAGAGGGGAGAATTAACAATCAGATCTTGGGAGTTAAAGGGTTAAATCAAGAAAGTGTACAATTGACAGTTTCCTATGTTCTTGAAAACTGAGTTCAAGACCTCAACATAAACAATTATGATTATGTTTTTCAAGTTCTTCACCCACTAATGAAGGAGTAGTTAGTCTTTAATGAGGTCCATCTAGATTTTTGACCTTATTTTAAATATTGAAATACATTGATTCAACAGATGGGAATTCAATTTTATAATTCAATTTTATTTATTAAGTCTTTAAGACAGAGGTATGTGAATTTATAAGAAAAATTTGTTTTAGTGAGGTTTTTATTATCAGATCAAACTTTTGACTGGCCTCCTATTTCTCAGTTTGTTTCATGAGTGAGATTTCTAGTGATCAAGTTAAGAAATACAAGGAGGCCCCAGAGTAGTATATGTGTAGCTGTACCCTACTTACAAAATAAGGTTGGGAAGATTTATCTTTATTTAAGGGTGTTTTTAATAAAATAATTATTCCACTTGTGCTTGTTGGATATGAGATGATTTTAGCTTCCTCCATTCTGGTGTACTTTTCTTCCTTTTTCTTTATCACATTTGAGCTGCTAAGATGGGTCAACTATATTTTCCCCCCTAAGATCAGCAATTGCCCTAGGTTTATTTTAATTAGGTTTAATGTAGGAATGTTAACAAAATACCTCTGTGACTGGCACATATCAAGATGTGCAAGAGGCAGAGGTTTATATTTAGCTACCAAGGATGGTTTCCCATCAGAGGGACTTATACTGGCATTTTGCAGACATTCCAAGGCATGTAAGGTTCTATTTCATGACAAATCATCACATTATTTCAATAAATATGTACCCTACATGCCCATCTTCCTTTCAAACATTGATTTAGGTCTTATTTTTGCCCATTCAATCAGGGTAGCAAGACAAACTATCTCTTAAGAAGTGCGAACACTAAGCATACCCCAGTTTTCTAATATTCATGTTGCATTATTTGTATGAATTTCACATACTTTTAACTCGAATTATCATGAGTTTGATCTTGTTTTCACTCACCCCCACCCCCGTTCAATTTAAATTTAATGCGTAATCTATCCCCTTCCTCCCCCGCCTCGTCCTCACTCACTTCCAATTCGTACTCAGTCTTCCGAATGAACCCATCACCTGGTAGATGTAAACAAGTTTCCCGTGCACCAGGGCTCGTAAAATTTCCTGTTGTTATTCTGCTGTCGAAATGGCCTCCAAGTTGGGTGGAAGGCCTTCAGTGGAACATGTTTCGTCTCTCGCCGAAGTTGTAGAGATAATTCTATCTTTCTTGCCGGCTAGAGCGCTTTTTAGTTGCGCGCAAGTTAGTCGCTTGTGGCGAGACACTGCTAGACGAGTTCTTCGTTCACGACAAAAATTGGGATGGCTTAGTTTTGAGGCTCACCATGAACCTCACGTAGCTCCCTGTACCTCAAAGGTAAGGATAGACGGGCGTTTATTCATTGTTGATGAAGGAATCTTTCTTCTTTATACCGTGAACGGTTCCCAACGCATGTTGTTATATCAGCAAAATATCTACACAATATTAACATCTTCAATGTCTCAGAATTTACCTGATCCGGAGAGCTTTCTCGGTCTTCGTACTTAATAGTCCTGTTGAGGAAACTGTTGGTTATTTTTTCCGTCAATTGGTGCTTTGTCATTCAAAACGACCACTGAATATACCAGTGATCCTACTTTCAATTGGCCTTTTTTGTACATCAGAGAAGGGGAGTCTTTAAATCCAGAAGAATGGGAATTAATTTGCGTTTCTGCACTCAAAATATTTCTTTGTGTTTTTTTTTTTACGTAGTTTTGCTTTCGACCAATTCCTTTTTGCTTTTTTAAGCAACGCACTCTGAATGTGAAAAGTACATTTCGGTTCATTTTCCTTGTTATTGTAGGGAAATAATTGGTCATAATGGTGAGAGCATATGAAAGAAAACCATCATAGTTATTAATTATTATTTTTAATTAATAATAAGGTCTGTGATAAGTTATTTGGGGGGGTGGGGCTGGGTAGTCATTGATAAGGGAAAGGGTTGGCTATTGAGGAGAGAAAATCTTGATGGTGACATAAAATTTGTTAAACAAGCAACCAAGTTCAAGGATGTATTTGGGGTTGCAAATTGTTGACTTGAAGATTCTTTATATTGAAATTGTATGCCTTGTTTAGATTCAGAACCCCTAAAACTATACTCTGTTTGTGGCATTTACCAACTATCCATACAGTTTTTTTGTTTTGTTTTTATTATCCTGGTTTGCTTTTATAATTTACTCATGATATGATGGGCTAGCCATCATCAGTATGTTTATTTTGCCTTTTTGATGACTTAGTTGTGAATGTGACTCAGATTAGTATTGCAAAAGCTTTTTAAATGTATTAGTCAAAGACAAGACTGTTTTTTCTAGCTCTCAATGGAAATGCTTGGACAGAAAATTGTTGAATTCTTGGATGAGCTACCCATTGTTCCTGCAGCCTGCATTGTCTTACTGAGCAGATGTAGGGTTCACCTTCAAGAAGGAAAAAAAGATGAAATAAAAACCTTAGTAACAACTGTAAAGGGATGTTTACCTCGCTCATGTGCCCTTATTGGAAGTGTTGGAGCAGGAGTTATTGGAACAGCAGAGGGTGGTTTTGCAGAAGAGTTGGAAAGTGCTGAAGGTGTTGCTTTATTGCTCATGCCACAAGTTGAAGGTGTTTCAGCAGAGGTTATAAATTTGAGTGCCACAGAGGTTAAGAATAACAGAACATTCAAATCTCGCTGGGAGAAATCTCTGAGACTTCCCCCTGATGGTACAGTCAAGTGCGCTTTTCTTTTAGCCAAGGGTGACACATATAATCTTGATGTTATAGGAAAAACAGCATCAGGAATTTGGCAGGTTAGCCTTTCTGTTGAGCTCTTTTTCTTCATTAGCTTGTTATCCATAGGAAAAAAATTACATACTATATGTAGTACTTGTCTATATTTTTAAAATATAATGAAACAAAGATGTTGAGCAGATTTACTGACAAGATACAGTTTTCAGCAAGTGTGAATTGCATCTTTATCAACTGAAGTAAATAAGAAGAAAAACCTTTTTTGGTGTACAAAATGGCTATCTTTGAAATGCAATATCTTATTTGTATTTGGTATTATCAAGAAGTGATAGAAATGATAGTTCTGTGTCTTTTTTCTTGACTCAAGGTTTGTAACAGTGAAGAAGATTATAAGTCAGATGTAGTAATAATTGGAGGACTTGTTGAGTCATTTGTGATGGTGGATAATGAAGTGAAGAATGCAGGTGTCGTAGGACTTGCATTTACAGGAAATGTTGAGGCTGTTTCAATGGTTCATCATGGAGAAACAGTAGAAGGTGTTCAGGAAAGTCTAAAGGAGCTGAGGAAGTGTGGCATCACCTGCAACAAAAATACCGCTTGTTTTATGGTGTCATGCATTGGTCGAGGTCAGGAATTTTACCATGCCAAGAATGTAGAGACTGGAATTTTTCAACAAGTATTTCCTGGTATTCCAGTGGTTGGTTTCTTTGGAAATGGAGAACTGGGTCTGGATCTGCATTCACATGAAAGAGATGGCCATTTTCTACACTCCTATTCATCAGTATTTTGTTTGTGTTCCTTGCCATCACAATCTAATGACAGTTTACCTGCTCAAGCCACAGTTATCTCTGTTACCAAGGAGCTCAAGCAAGATGAGAAAGATGACAAGCCATCTAAGTGTACTTGACTTAAAACATGTGACTTGGTTATCAAAGAACCCTAACAATATTTGTTGAATGGTTACACCATTTCTGTGAACAGATGAACTTAGGAATAATTAGAATAAATTATTGTGCTTTATAAATTACATAACAGAGTACATTTGTATTCTCTGATCAGTGATTGGATCTAACTGTAAATGATTTTTCTGTTAATATTATGAAAAAATATTGGTTATTTGTTCTGATGAAGTCACTTCAGAACAGAGATTGACATTGGAAGTGTCTTCCCTGTGAGACAAAGGTTGATACTTTGTGTTTTTTTTTATATTCAATTGTTTCTTTGTTAAATCATTGTCACCTGAGAAGAGGATGTTTGATCTTTCAAGGGCCTCTACTTGCACAGTGGTATTGCATAACTGATATCTATAATTCCAAAAATGTTTGAATGTTCAATTTGAATTACAGGTTATATTTTTCATAGTTAATTTTGTATTTAATAATTGTTAGCCAGTGTAAATAGCTCATATTCATAACTTATGATGTAATGAAAAGTATGAGAGAGATGTGTTTGTCTGATTTGTGTTCATGTGTTTATAGATGAATTTAACAAGTGGTAGGGATGACTAGGTGGTTGGGCTTTGAATAGAAGAGAAGTTACGGTGACAGTGAGGAATTTTTGTATCAGAGCATCTGCAAATTAAACTCAAATATTGAATGATAATGCTTTATCTGCTGTACAAATAGAAAATTATTTTTACCAATCAAGGATAACAATCTTAGTTACCACAATAACCACATTCAGGTAAGGGATTTCCTGAATGGCTTTTAATTGCTTTAACCCTTGTACTCCCAAGATCTCCAAAGTAATTATCCATACTGTCTGCCATACAATTTTTATGATGCTAGATTTGAAAATTTGGTATTAGATCAACTACTAATTCTCTGATGACATTTTTCTTTATTCTCATCACTTGTCTGCTTTTCAATATATAGACATTGTAAGGAGAAATTCTTTCTTGGTCATGGGAGTGAAAAGGTTAATTCAAATCCTTTAGGAGGGAATAAAGCACTATAATTACCACTGATCATCTTGTGATTCTCTCCTGAAAAAATGTTCATTCCCAAATCATTTGTCACTAGCTTAGAAGGGCATTTATTTTTTTTGTTTCCAATTCTGTCAGTTGTTACAATATTATGATGAAATATGAAGTGTAAAACAAAGTTTCAGTTCAGCTTAGAAATACACATTTTGTATTTAGTCAATAAGTGTAATAAGGCAATTTGTGTAGGCAGGAAATGCATTGATAAGTCTCGCTTGAAGAATCCACCATTTTTTAAGGACCAATGGTCAAGAATATGTCATATGTGAATTTTCTACATGAACAGCTGAATTAAAATGCACTTGACTGGCTCTTACCCAGGATGTATCTATTATTGGAGGAGAGATGCAGTGATGAAGTCACTATTAACAGTATTGTCCTTTTTAATCATATGAAAACAAAATAGTTTCTTTGTTGCCATGCCTCTGTAAAAAAATATGTCACAGATGATGTCAAAATGTGGTAAGAACATTGGCTGCACCTCGGGTGCCATTTTTTTGTGGTTGACATATGTTTTACATCGTTTGTGATCTGTTACTGAAGAGAGACATGACAACATTTGTGCTGTTCTAAGTTTTAGAAGTAGTATAGGTTACAATTTGTTAATTGAGTTAAATGTTGAAATTGACCAATTTTTCTAACAAACTGTAAAATGTGTGAAATGTAGATATCAGTGTAATGTTGTGATACTACAGTTGGGTCAGTTTATTTTGGAAAAAAACAGATTATGATTGACATTTTGAAGGCAATTATTGGTAATATAAACTTTAACATTAAGAAAGTTGTGTTGTAAATATTGTTAAAACAATAAAAGAGTTAGTGTAGTAAATATGTAACTGACTCTTTCATTCCCAGTTATAGCCAAAAGGAATTTCTTTATAAAATTTTTATATTTAAGCAGAAGGGTAATGAAAAAAAGTGTGATAATATTGACCAGGAAGTCCAATGTCAGATTCTTAGAGACAAAGTTGTTCTTAGCTTATGGTTTTCAAAGGGAAGAGGTGATATTTAATTTTTCAATATTGAGAGTGAAAAGGGCCAACCATTCACAACATCTTACCTTAAAAAGTCATCTTCTCTATAACAAATTCCTCTTTTCTGGTAATAAACTTTCAGTGAATGGATGGAAAAGTTAAAAACATTAAAAAAAAAATACAAGAGATGATATCTGAATGTTACATTGCATTACCCTCTCCATGATGGTTTAATTAGTGTTTCACCTTGGTAAAAAAAGAAATAAAATTAGCACTGATAGTCATCGGGGAAAACAAGCGCCATAAAAACTGATTTATGCCTTTTATTTCCCATTTCCAACTGGAACTGAAACTGGATACTGAATCAAGATATTACTCTAATATCGTTAAAACATAAGTAGAAGTGTGATCGCCATGAAACTTGGTGGCGAAATGTGGAAGCTGGAACGTTTCCCTTGAATTTAATTTCCTAGAAGCAGAAATGAAGAAACTCTGATGTTTCAATTTTCAAATTTTCTTGGAACTCAGGCGAATGTGAATTGAAAACGTACTTGCAGATCATGTGGAGTGCACGGGATGTCACGTGATACCGGCATTTTCACACCAATAGTAGGCGCGAGTACACCATGAGCTCATTATTGATGCTGGGAATGGCGTCGAACTTTGTGAATTTTTACCCCAGTTTTAGTTGAACTTCACACCATAGTTTTATGTTTTTAAATTTTTAGTCAAAGTAGCAATGGCTGAAGTCTTCCCTTTAGATATAAATGATCCAATAGACGAAGAGGATTTTAGCGAAGATGAATTTGAAGAGGTAGGCTCAGTTTGAATGAGTTGAGCGATCGATACAATTGCGTATAACGAAAATATTTTCCTGAAAGGAAGTGATAACCACTAGGATCGAAGTTTGACTTTATGAGACTCTTTTTGTAGGGGCAAGTAGGCGATGAGCTGATGGAAAACGATGAAAGGTTAGAAATGCCGGGAAGCCGGTATCTGTTTTGAAATTTGTACTCGATCAGTGAACCATTTCACTGTCTATACGTATGTCACTATATCGCTTCGCCTGTGGAAGTGATAGTTAATGAGCTCTTTCTCTTTCGCACAGTATGCATGAAGTGGAAACACTGGCTATTTCTGAAGAGACTGTTAATCCTAAAGATGAGAAAGTAGGCCCTGAAAGCTTTGAACTTCTCAAAGTTTTGGGTAAAGGAGGTTACGGCAAGGTAGGTACAACGCTATCTACATAAATTATATCGTGATGCCTATTAGACCGCTTATAGGTAACAGTGATATAGTAGATAGTTTTGTAACTGTTGAAAGGTTTGACTTAAGATCGTATGGAGGAACCAATCGAATGCGTTTTTGTTTTTTTTCTGGCAAGGTTTTTCAAGTCAGAAAAGTGGATGGAAGGAACAAGGGAAAGATATTCGCGATGAAAGTGCTGAAAAAGGTTAGAGGTTGAGTTGTGATGATTGCACTAATTTTTGAGTTACATAACAATATATTGTGTAGAATTAGGGTCAAAGTACTAGTTCAGATTTTAGCATTGACTTGGTGTATATTGATTAGATTTTTTTCTATTTCGCCCGCCTAACTTTTTTATTTTGAGGGAATGTGTTCAGTTAACCCACACTTCTGTATCCATGTACAGGAAATTGACAAACGATTACTTTTTAAATGATAAACATCGTTATCATTCCAGATCATTCGTTCCCCACCTCCTGTTCCTCTAGTGATTGCCAAGGTTAAGCCCTGGCCATAAGATTTACGTCATATCTATTTTCCTAAGAGAAGACTAGCATTCTTGAAGTGATTGATCAGGAGGTGGTTGTAATTTAATTTACCACTCCGAGGCTGGTTTGATCAACTGATTTTGCTGACATTCCTGGAAATTTCCTCCAAATTGGTCGCCTAGATTTTAACCTTTTGTGTGTGAGCTGTAGGATAATTTGTGCTTTGAAATATTGTGATAAAAATGTATTGATATCTGGTGTAGAATAAGATTACTTTGTGCTTTAAAAAAAAAACAGTAAAATTTGATGAAAGATGCTGGTATTTTGATTTACTACTGTGTGAGAAATGCAAGGGAAGTGAAAATGAAATATTGGCTTTTGTTGAGCTTAAAGTACATATTTCCTTTTGCTTATGCAATCTGCTACTTGATTCGATTTGTATTTCTAATTGATGGAAAAGGAAACAGGTTATAGCAGTGAAGTAAGAGAACTCACTGTGCCAGACTTAGCAAATTATTAACTTTTAGCAGCGTGTATGAGTCATTTAAGCAAAATTTGGGATGTTGGTTTTTAAAAAAAAATTGCTTATGATCAGCAAGGCCTCTGTCTTTCTTTACCATTATACCCTATTTGTGGTCATAAAATTTATTGGTGATTTTTCCAACTCATGTGTATGTCAGGATTCATATTTCCTTTCTTTTTTGTAATTGAACCAGTTTTAGCTTGATTTGTGTTTGTCTCATTTTATTAATTTTAATTGTTGACTAACAAAGATTTAACTTAACCAGAAATAAAATTGAACCACAAGATAAAGTGATATGTCATTAGTACTGTATTATTAATAATGTCAGATTTTGCTAAAAAACTGGATCTTGGTCTCAAGGGTTTGGCCTCAGACTTAATGGTTCACAAATTAAGTCAAAGTTACGTTGATGAATTATCATTAATTGAGGATACTTGTCTTTTTATGTCCATTAGGCTGCCATCATCAGGAGCCACAAAGACACTGCCCATACTAAAGCAGAAAGAAATATCTTGGAAGCTGTTAAGGTTTGACTCAATTGCATTTATCTTAAACAGGGCATCATTCTGTCAGTAAACTGGGAGTTTGTTTATCTATTTTTTGCACTAATTTTCAAACCACTTCAACTTTGGTAAAAATACATTACACTTGTGAAACAATAGAATGAAGCGGGAATTTAGAAAACTCATTTAA